TTTAAAAGATTGTTTGTAGTTCACACTTACAAAATTAGTGCTTTAAGCAATCTAATTGTTTGTCTTGCAGAACATATATTTTATTCATAGCTTTTTCAGAAAAGGAAACTTACCATAGATTTCATTTCTGTAACTTATTTTTTACTAAAATGATTGTAAACTGAATAAATTATAGGGTTATAACGCAAGAGAATGATGTGGGATTTTAAACATGCAGGCCGGCGCGATAGGGGGTGTGACCCCCCCCCAGCAATGATTTTTAGTCGGCAAACTGGACCCTTAGTCGGCAAATTAGACCTTGTTAGTCGGCAAATTTCGACCCTTTCGATATAGGTTAGACAGTCGGCAAATGTCGTCATGACAGTCGGCAAATTTTTGAAAACGCGGACTTTTTTTTTTTTTTTTTTTTTTTTTTTTTTTTCATAGTCGGCAAAAGTTGTAATGGCACCCCCCCCCCCCCACGTAACACTTACTCGCGCCGGTCCTGGCAACAATTCTTTTTTTGCTTGAACATGTTTAGTTTTATAGAAAAAACAGATTTCGGGCAATAGTTGTTTACACCATTATTTCCCCCCTCTTTTAAATCTCGTCGTTATTTTGGTAACTTTAAGTTAATCTGAGAAAATTTGCTGTCTGATTAACTTAAAGTTACCAAAATAAGTGCGCCTGATTTATTTTTAGTTTACCATGATTTCTCACACAATTTGCCAAGTAAGTTTAAAATTGCTTTTTTTTTTCCAATCAGTAGAGTAAAAGCGGGTCAAATAAGTTTTTATTTATCACGGTAAAAAGATTTCAATTTTTTTTTTTTTTAAGTTGTAAAGACTTTTGAATTGTATTTAAATATAAAAATCAAATACATCTTTAAAAAAGTTTTTTAAGAAACTTCATTTATTTAAAAAAAAAAAATTTTTTAATAATTTTTTTTTATTTAGGTGCCAATTAAATCTTTCGGTCTTATCACAGAAAAGCATTTAAAAGCACGCTTCTTTTCTTATCGATGCTATAAAACTTACCCAGAGGTGGCGTTGAATAATGGATCTCTATTTCTGTGGCAAGCGTACTAACCACTGCACTTCGACTCCTCCTTTTTCATTCTATTCTACGGCTGCATATTTGCATACACCAAGATTTCCATCTTGCTGAGCGAAAACAAACCAGTCTTTTGAAACCCAGAGTGACTATTAAACTTGAACACAATATTTTTTTTGCATTTCTCTAAAACATCCTTTTGACAAACTGCTGAACTTTGTCTTTGCACAAAACTCTTAAAGTAATATAATATTATATCAAATTTTGAATCGCCCCCACCCCTCCTTTAAAAAGAAACTACGCTACAAACTTAGCCAAATTTTTCGTTATTAAAGCAATGAAACTAAAAAAAAACAAAAATTGTTGACGTCAACTTTAATTGACATCCCCCTCCCCCGTGTCAACAATTGTCAATAAAAAACCCTTCAAACAGCACAGATTACCAAACTTTTATGGGTTTAATATAAAATATACTTTTCACGACTAAATACAATTGAAAGCTGGTGCCACATCATTTTATCACTCTGTGTTGTGATATTAAAAAACTGTATTGTGATATTATAATTCTGTGTTGTGATATTATAACTCTTTGTTGTGATATTATATAGCGTTGATTTGTTTTTTATAGCATTATTTGTTTGTTTTGTATCTAACAAAAACAAGAATGTCTTTTATGGTTGAAGATTATCCAAATTTAATAGTTACTTATTTTTGGACCATAATTTTTTGTATAAATATTTATTTATAAAATTTATATTTAATTCATGACCATTCTTATACGACAAAAAATTGTCTAAAATAATCACTACCAAATTTAAATTAGGAGAACTCTCTGTAAAGAAATTTAAAAAAATTTAATTTTAGAGGAAAGACTTAAATAGATTTTTTAATACTACTTACATTTAATACAAAAATTTGCTGCAATAGCGGGTCCGACTATGTTTACAATGCGTTTGTGCACCTTACCTAAAAGAAAAAGGGCATTTAGATTTATTGAGATAAAGAATAGATTCCTAAATAAGAAGTAGCGAGCACGATAAAGGGATGCAACCCTATCAGATGCTTATGTTGCCATGGATTTGATTTTGTAGTTACCAAGAATATCGGAAATAATTTTTGTATCTTAAAGACAGAAACGTTTCGATGGGCCCGCAACCGTAGGAGGGCCCAGACTTATTAGGGGCCTAGGCCAAATTTTTCAAATACATTTAATAACATTTTTACTTTTATTGTATATCTAAGAATTACAAATTCTTAGCTATACAATATGTAACATACTTGTTTCAATTAACTTAAATCAAAATTGTATTTAAAAATAACGCCTTTTGTCTTCATGTATAATTTCTTTTTGTTCTGAGGGGGAGGAGAGAGAGAGAAATAATTTAGGATTAAAATTTAATGGGAAGGCCTATTTTTTGTCGCCAAGCCACTGCTTAAAGGCCAAACGAAGATGTACATTGCCGTTCATAATTTTAGGAAGATCTTGATTGTTGTGATAACTGTTAGTTTTATTTGAGTTGAAAATTATCAGCCAAGGAGAGGCAGATGGAACTTCTTTATAAAATTAATTATAGATTGGTGCAGGTTAAACATTGTTTATAAAACGCACTAGAAGAAATAGGACGTGACTATTTATACAAATAAAGAATTTTAAAAGCTTATGTCTTATTTAAGTAATGAAAAATGACAGTACCCCTGCAGTAAAATTGAGGCGGTTTTGCTCTTTTCTTATACTGCCGATATTGCTGACTTTAATATTTGAATTAGTTTTAGCAATATAAGTAATTCTAAAACCAGCGGAACTATCAGTAAAAAAAGTTAGAATATCCGCATCAATTTTAGTGCAAAAGTACCGACATTTTTATATACTTAAATTATTACTTAAAGTTATTATCAAATATATCAATTTTAAAATTATTATTATGTTTATTATCTTTGGACGAAATTGTCAACTATCCTAAACTTATTTAATGCTCTGGCATTTTAACATTTGCAAAAAACCGATGTGTTCTGCCAACATGACTTTTAATATATATAAATAAATATAAGAAACTTTTAGAAATAAATATAAGAAATTTTTATTTTTTAAGTAAAATTTTTTTTTTTTTAAATAATCAATATATAAAAAAGTTTAATCGAAATAAAACTTAATATCTGATTTACTATTAAGCAAAATTTAGGGGAGACCGGGGCTAGTTGGCCGCAGGGGTAAGTTGACGAATTGCGTTTATCTTTAAAGCCTTTCATCAGAAAGTGATAAAAATTACACAGAATCTTCCTAATTGACTGTTTCATCATTCAATGTAGTATTGTCAGGATTCGCGCATGCGCATGGGAGATATTAAGATTTAAGTGTTTTTTGGACAAAAACGTAACTTTTGAAACATCGCTTCCTTTTTACAAAGAAAATAGTTAGTCAAATGGAAAAAAAATTATTGTAAAAGTTCTAGCCACAATTGGTTTACTATATTCAGTTTGACTTTTTTTAAAAGTTGCCGTTTTTCAGGATCTATAGACTGTTTATTGAAAAAAAAGCCTTCGGGGTAAGTTGACAAAATTTTTACGGGGTAAGTTGGCTCATAGCATTTACTATGGAGAAAAATATTTATTTTTATAAAAATAATTTTTTTAATTTTTTTAATTTTTAACAATATTGAAAAAACTTATTCTTACAAAAAAATTATAAAAATTTTTTTTTTAGGTTTTTTGTAACAGGTAAAAAGAGGGCTGCTGTTTTGGCTGTTATACGTACTAATATTTAGCACAAGCTAAAAATAATATCAAATTATTAGCTTAAATTGTTGCCAAAATTAATAGGTAAAAAATTTCTATTAATTTTGCACTTAATAGTACATTAATAATCACGTTTATAGTTTGCGTCAACTTACCCCGTGGTGGGGTAAGTTGGCGCAATTTTTTTTTTTTTTTTGAGGGCCCCGTAAGGCCCCAAGAATTTTTTTTTGTAAATCCATGAAACTTTTATAAGTTACCCAAGTTCATACGCTTTGAGACTACACTTTAATATTTTCAAAAAAGTGTGCTATTAGGGCTACAGAGCTCATAGAGTAAAAACCGAGCCAACTAGCCCCGGTCTCCCCTATATGAATTTAACTTTCGAACAAAAAAACTCCAAAAAAAATTCTGCAAAGTTTCGAATTTTTTAGTTTCGTTGTCAACGAAAATCTTAAAAAAAATGGCGAATACTTTAAACTTCAAAAATAATTGATATTAGCATAAATGTGATTGTGTGCAGAATATAATTTTATTTTTTTAAATATAAAATTAAATTTCATCAACTTTCAATAAACCTGAAAACTCATGAGTTTATCGTTAACATCATGTATAATAACGAAGGTTGAATATAATAAAGAAATATTGCAGTAAAAAAAGAAAAAATATTGTCAAAAAATATTTATTATTAATTTAATACGAAAAAAGGTAATTACCGTAAAAGTATATTTAATCTGATTTTAGTATTTTATATAACTAACACTTTTTGATATTAATTATATTTTAATATTTATAGTAACAAAAGAAAAAATATATAAATATTATAATCAAAATGATCAAAATTCATGATATAATTACAAAAATATAAAAAAAAAGTTTATAAAAAAAAATTATATATTTAAACAAAGATTAATATCAATTATTATTATTTATAGTTTAATGTTATTATTATTATTATTAAAAATGTTAAAAAAATAATAATTGAAAAACTATGTACCACAAATATAATTATATATTTAATAGTTTATGTAATTACTATTTTAATTAATATATTTTAAAAAGAACTAAATATAAATATAAATAATACAATAATATAATATTGAACTTTTTTATTTACATCTAATATATTTAAATTATTTCGTATATTTAAAGCAAATAAATTTATAAAAAAATAAATTAAATAATTTAATTTTTTATTTTTTTTTTACTATTTAAAAATACATTAAATATTTCATTTATTATTTTATAATTATTGTTTTTATTTTATATATTTAAAATATTAAACATTTTTCCGCGTTATAAAGTTAATTCATCGAGGTTACGAAATTATTTTCCACGGTACTTGATCTCAAACTTCTTGATGTTCGAACAACGAATCCATTCACAAATGTCTTTAAAGAAATCAATGTCGTCGTGAAGTTGATCTAATTCTTCACAAAGATTAATCCAAGGATCTAATTCTTCACAAAGATTAATCCAAGGAAGAAAATTTTCTTTAAAATCATTTTTTGTTATTAAATAATGTGAGATCCATATCGTCAACTCTTCAATCTTATCTTTCGGTTTCCATCCTTCGAAATTAATTGGACGATAAAAGCTGACATTGCGAACATTAGTTGAACATCGAATTAAAAGATTTTTTTCTTCATCACTTAAAATATTTTTATTAACATGTAAACACTTTAACTTTCTTCCAGATTTTATGTAATAATTTACGAATTAATTATCGCAAGAAGTTGCGTAAGAAGTTTTTCCATCGTCAATCGAAATCCTCCAACCAAACCATTGTTTATTTTGTTCATCAACAATTGATTTTATTTCATCAGTGAATGACGATTGACTTTCGTAAAAACATTCGTAGAAAAAATTGAAACCATCAAAACCATTAATACTTTTAGATAGACAATCTAAAGAAAAATTAAATGTGAAATATAACAATAAACAAATAAATAATAAACAAAAAATAAAATAATAATCAAAATTGTGATATTATAATATTATTATTTTTCTATATACAAATATAATTAATACACTATAATTAAATAAAAAATTGAATACATTTTCATATTATTAATAAATATATTACATTTATATTATAGTATAATAAACATATATACATTAATAATAAATGAAATTATATATAAAACTTAATAAAACTTTTAAACAAAATAACTTCTTAATAAAAATTATAAAAAATATACTAATTTTATTATTTTGAACATAATTTTTTTATTAAGAAATTTTATTATAAATGTTGTGTTTATAATTTTTAATAACCAATAACATGCATATATAAAATATATTTTTTACTTAAAATAACATAAAACAGATTAAAAATATGTTTAACTTAGAAAAAATGGTTTATTTATTCATATTGTCATTCGAAATAAATATCATCATTTTTTTATTTAAGAAGATAAAAAGGAACTCAATGTATTTATAAACCGAATTTCTACAGAACTTGTTCAAATTTAAAATTTACATCGAAAATCTCCTTCGACAATCTTTTTTAAAATAAGTTAATTAAATAAATATGAAAAAACGTCAAAGAATGAAGGTTCAAATATTTGGTGATTCGATTTCGACGTCGATTTGAAACTTTGAAGAAAATCAATAAAAACTTGCAACTTTTATACAACTTATAAATTAAATTTTGATGCAATTAGCGCTTCTTGAATAAGGCTACAAAATATATATTATTAAAACATAAAAAAAAGCAACTAACACAGCTAAGAAGAACCAATAATCTATTCAATCAAATTTAAATTTTTATATAAATTATATCGAATGCATGTTTTTTGGATAGACAAATAAAATTTTGTTTTAAAATTTTGTAATTCATGTAACAGTCATTTTAAAGAAAAGTTTTACTTTCACTATCATTTTATAAAATTAAAATTTCTCTTTACGAGTGACCAAATGAACACAAGTTCTAATGAGAAAATTTAACTTACGGTGAGAACATAAAAAAAGCAACTAATGGCAATAGTGTCACAGGAGTATTAAAACTTGGACGAACTGTCGATTTACAAATTATTGAACTATATTGTGGGAATATTTTACATGTTTATTAAATCGAATGAAACGAATAAAATTAAATTCGCTTGAAATTACAGTCTTAGAATAGAATCAGCTTATATCTTGAAATCAAATTATTATCAAAAATATTAAATTTAAATATTATCTTTTCTTGCAATTTTTTTTGTTTAAAAAAATTCACTGAATATATCAACAAAATAAACAAAAATGAAAAAAAAAAAAATTGTTTTCATAATTATATTCAAGAGATCATTGTCGTCGTATCGCCTTAAAACAATTCGACTTTAGTTCCAAAACATAAACTTTTTAAATGAAAAGAAATTATAATGAAAATTGATTATAAAACTGAAGTATATTTACAAAATTTAAAAAGTTTTGTTACCAGTGTGAATTTAAATAAACAATGATAACAAAATGATACCGTAGCATTTTAAGAAAATAAATTGAAAAATGAGTTTTAAAAATTTAAAACTCGATCATCGAACTTCAAAAAATATTTTAATAAATTCGAAAAAAACAGTAAATATTGATAACAAACTTTTCGCTTATAATATGATTTTGTAACCATCGCAACCGATTTCCAAATGCACGATAGCGGTAGCAGGTTCTTAAAACGAAAAGATTAAAACCGAAAAAGCCTTATTATAATTTTACATACAACCTACTTTTTAAAATTGTTATATAATTTTTGTTCCCTACAGCCCCGGATCATTGTAACTAAAATGGAAAACACTAAGCCATCAAAAAAAAAAAAAAAAAAAATTATATTCAACTGTATTTTTTTATCAACTGCTTTTTAAAAGATATGGTCGTTCCACTAAAAAAAAAAAAAAATTAAAAGAGCGCCGATTTAAATGTAAATGTTTTTGATAAGATTGAACTCTTAACAAAAACTTGTTAAATAATTTTATATTTGCCAATATAATTAAAAGTGTACTTTTAATTATATTGGCAAATATAAAATTATTTAACTGTTAAAAAAATTATTACACTAAATTGCTGAATAATAATTTTTATTTTATGTAATTAATTATATTTTATATATCAATTACTTTGATATATTATTCACTTTTATTGTAGAATTTTTATTTGTTGTAATAATTCTTACAATGCCTGCATTCTATTACAAAAAGATAATATATAACTGTTTTCATATGCAGTAAACAACGTTCGTCTAAAGAATTTTTTCATACTGCAATAAACGACACTTGTTAAAGTGTATGTTCTTGTAAACATGCAAACGTTTGTTAAAAAAAAAAAAAACAGAAAGAAAAACGAACGTCACTTTTCTTTAATTTTGCTTTTGCAAACGTTGGCGTTTGTTTAAAATTAATAAAAACGAACGTATTACTTTAGCGTTTTTTTTTCCAAATATATATGCGATTGATAGTTTTTTATTTAATATAAAAACACATATTTATAATAAATATAATATTTTTAAAATTACATTTTACAGTGCAGACTTCAAATTTGAATGAATTTGATGCTGTTTTGACTACTATTGAACTGTAATTTGATAAAGACAGACCTAAATTTTAATTCAAATATTATACTAATTTAATTTATCCTAAACAAAGTGAAGAAAGAATATTTATGCAATTGTTTTACAAGAAACTATGTACACCACAAGGTGACTCGTAACCTCAACGCCCAACACAAGGACATCTTGACCTTGATAAACAATTGATATAACTGATAAACAATTTAGTAAAGAATAAAAGAAATCAAAGATTATTAAAATGTAAACTGCGATATTTTTCTAAGGGAAATTTTAATTAAAAATTCATATATTTATATGCCCTATATAAAAATATAAAAAATATTAATGTTAGTCTTGCTCTAAACTAAGCAGTTTTTAGCCATTTTAAGGTCCGTTTTTTTGTTTCAAATATGTCATTTGAAGGTAAGGAATGAGTGATTCAATGGCGTTCAACTTTTTTACGAGTTAGTTTAATCATATTTGCTTCAAATATAGATGGTTTGGTTTTCAAATACCAAAACTTTTTAATGTCTAAGAGATGGTTTTCAATAACAGTAACTATGTCAAACAAGAGTTGAGCACATAAGTCACAAAAAACAATTTTTTCAAAAAATAAAAAAACTTAATATCAAAAAAACTTCTTATTAAAAAGATTTTTGAAAACTACTTTGAAAGTAAAAGTTACTGTTTCATAAAATTGGTAAAGTTTAATAAAGTTTATTATTTTATTTTTAAACCACTCTTTAGAAATATTTTTGAACAAAAATATTTTAAACCATTCTTTCGAGTAAACTGACATGGTTTAAAAACCATTATAAATGAATTTAACATCAAAACTTTTTTTAAGTTTTCCATCAAATTATTATTTTTCAACCAGAAGTTTACTTGTAACTTATTTTGAGAGTATTTTAATATTAATTTTAATGAAGCATAAAAAAAAAGTGCAAAAATATGTTGCATTCTCCCCCATACATGACAGAAACCTATTTAGGATGCAAAAAAATAAATATTATCTCCACTGACACACACTTAACATGAAACTATACTCTTACGTAACTAATACATTAGAGGGAAGGTTTTTAAAACTTTGAAAAACAGTCCCACTCACCCCCTATAAAATCTCGTACCCTACTTTTTATTAATGTTTACTTTCTTTTAGAAAAAACAACTATATCCTTACGTGAAAAAAAAAGTTTCCAAATTATTCTTTACAAATGTAATTATAGTAATTCCTAATTTGTAATAACTTTATATTCTTATAATACTTTTTTTATTTAGTACGAATGAAGAAAATTTGACTTTCTTGTTGAAGACGTTTTAAAGTAATTTCAAGCAAAGAAAGAAAATAGACTTTTTATTAAAAACCATATGAAAGTGATTTCAAGATTTTAATAAAATACTTATATGAATTATTTCAAAAACAAAACATTGAAAAAGACTCTGCAGTCTTTTTTATAATATTTTATTTATTAAAAAAAAAAATACTTCGTTTAAGAAAATCTTATTTGTGTTTTACTTTATTTTTTATATATAACTTTGATTTTTTCAAATTAAAAAAAAAATTATTTCTCTTGCTACATTTAACCAAAGATTTGAGAAATTATATGTCTAGATCATGCTTGAAAACAGTCTGTTCAAAAATATCAAATAATAGCCACGAATTCGCTCTTACATAATCAACCACTAAAGGTATTTCCAAATTTTGAAAGCTGACGCTGCATCTAATTTAAACATTTTCCGATGGAAAACCTGCCAGAAAAAAGAGCTGGTCCTGTAAAGTTAATACTTCATTAATTTTTAACATTATCTTATCAAATAATAATGCTAATAATGAGTTTATTTATAACATTATGAAATCAAAGGCTAAAAAAACTAATCTTGATTGCAGCTGTATCTGAATTCCCAGCTGTGAGAAATTTAGGAGAATAGAAAATTGAAATATATGTTGCCATCTTTTCCCATTCTTTATCTTCCTTTTGTCTCAAGTTCAGGATTTACTTTGTCAAATTATAAGGAAGCATGACATTGCGAACTCTTCAGATCAGTAAATACTTACTGCCATAAACCGTGTATGGTTTACTGCCCCAGGCTTGTGAATGTTGAGATGCTTGAATGTTGGTTCCTAAAAAATGAGAGCTAGCTCAGCAAGTTCCTAGTAGTCTCTAGTTACTGGTAATATTGGATATTGTTTTTATTAATAAATATTTCACATTTATTACATAAACTTGAACATTTTAATGGCTAGAAAAACTAACCTAAAAATATTTGAAAACACCTTCATTAACAAGTGTTATAAAAAGATTTCTTGCCTCATCTGCTTGTTCTTTAAACTAAGAATGACAAATCTGTTGCGAATTGAAGTGATCAATAAACTGTGTCATTATCAAC